ATCCGGCTGCTCGCGGCATTTTCCTTGATCCCGCGTCGAGCTTGCTAGACGCATGCTTTTGCCCACTCGCCCACTGGCGTATGGCTTGTTCGCTCGTTCGTTCGAGAGGCCTCACCGGGTGCGCGGAGAACGAGAACGCCACTGCGGCCCCCGGTCGGCCCAGGGCGACCCCCAGAGAGCCCCCCAGACTGGCCCAAGAGGGGGCTGGACCGAAACGCTGTTGTTCTCCCCCTGCCGCCCACATTGCGAAAGCGCGGAGTTTCTCGAAATACCCAATGCACCATGGGGCGCATTATGAGGAAACGCCTCTGGAGCCACCTCCCTTCGATATGGATTCGTTTTGTTGCTCGTTTTGCTCTGCCTGCTTTCATGTACCTCCCTGCCAAAACAAAAAACAAAACACAGCCGAAGCCCAGCAAAACAGCGTCCAGAGTCCAAGGAGGCCCCAAGACGTCCCCACGACGGCCCCCAGAGATCCCCCGGATGGCCAGAAGGGCCCAGGGACGGCTCAATAAGGCCACAATGCGGCCCAAGAGGGGCGGCACTAGAGGGCCCCGAGGGATCCACAAGACGGCCCAAACAGTTTTTGTGATCCGCGGGTCGAGAACGCACCTCTTCCAGTCGAAGCTAAGCGGGCCGCGCACAGCTTTAATTGACAGAAAGACGGCCCAAACAGTCACCATGAGGAGTCCTCCAGAAGTGGGGGCGGCAGGTTCCACATGTGACGGCCTTCTGGGCGGTGCTCGAAGCGTCGCCGCACGGAGTGCATTCGCTGACACGGTGGCGGATGTGCCGCTGCCCCAGTCTCGAGAGGAGATGCGGGGGAAGATGGCAACCAGGGCGGTGAGAGGTCTGGCCCGTCAGCGCCCACGAGCGACGAACATACTTACGCAGGACGAAAGATTTTCCTCTTGAGGTGCAAATGGCCATGAAGAGTTCGCGAGACAACGTCGGTGCCGCCGAACGGACGGCGACCGGACGAGCTGTTTGCAGCAACTGGGGGGGGGGAGGGATGTATGTATTCATGTTGAATGGGGCCTGTTCGCGCGGGGAGTTGATGGGAGTGCGCGAGCCGACGCAGGGCCCATCGTGGAAAGTTGATTACTGAACCCCCCTTCCCCCATAGAATCTTAACACGGGCGGTTTGCGGGGTCCGCGGATCCGATTTCTTCCGGCCCCCTGGTTTAATTTAATAATATAAATTTAAAGCAGGGTAGAAATCGGATCCGCCGTAAAAAATAAGACCGGACACGGATCCAGCGAATCCGAAATCGGATCCGTGCGGACGGAAATCGGATCCACCGAAACAAGCACCCAAGCCACATTTGGATCCGCGCGAACTTCATGGGATCCAACGGCGGTTATCTCATACGGGTCTGCTCAAGACTTCACATCGTCGTTCCGAGCCCAAGAGGAAAAAACTTTCGTCCTGGGGATGTAGCCGCATCCATGCCCCGACGGCCTGGATTACCGACATGCGATCCCAGGGGATGTGCGATCCCATGGATACTGATGCGCGCGGAGGGCACCCGCGCAGAGCCGCCGCTCGCATCCACAGGGTCGCGGCCCAGGAGTCCCAGACCGCGAGACCGTGGACATGGACAAGCTTTCCGCCAACGAGGTGCAGGGCGTCGTGGGCAAAGGAGGGAGCAGAAGAGACGTCAGGCTGGGGCGGAAGGAGGCCCGGCAGGAGGCGACCGGCTGCGGAGGACGGGCCCGGAGCGAGACGAGGCGGAGCGGGGGACGAGACGGGGGAAGCGAGGATCGCCGTGGAAAGCTCCCACGCAGGCTATCGACATGTTGCCCGATCGCCAGTGACGAACATGTCCGTATCCATGGCCACGCGCTCGGGGCGCCGAGGAGCGCGATCCCATGGAGCCGCGATGCCGCGGGTGTGCGCCGCGCGGGGCATATCTGCGCAAGGACGCCCCGTGCCGGCGAGGTCGTGGCCGAGAAGTTGGGAGCCGCAGGGCCGTGGGCAAGGCTGTTCTTCGTGAAGGGGCCCTGGGACACACAAGTAAATACACACAAACAAAAAGATGCCCCATATTTTCCCATATTGTCTAAGTTTTTGTCTTCCCCCCAATTCCCATATTTTCCCATATGTTCCTGAGAGTGGACGATTACTTGTGTCTGTGTGTTTTTTCCCCTCCTGACTTCAGGCCCACGAGCCACGCCCCCGCCCACACACGCTCTCACTCATTCGCTCGTGGCGGTAGAACGTCGTGGTCGTGCAGCCACCTGCCCTGCCCCTCCGTCTCGGCGAAGTGCCCGAGGTGGAGGGGGGGGTGCGTTCGGGAAAAGGTGGAAAAAATGACAAGATGGGTAGAGTAAAGTGGGTAGCAGCGAGCCGAAACAGACCTCTACTGATGCAGAGTGGGGGAGATGCGCCTGTCACAACGGCTGTCACAACGACACAAGGGCTGGACCTAAACGTTGTTTTGCTCTGCCTGTTTTCTGCACTCTACCAAGACGAAAAACAAGACACGGCCGAAGTCCAGCAAAACAGCGCCTGGGTCCAGCCCTGCCCAACCCCAGGAGAGGCGAGAGTGAGTGGGGGCTTGAAGAAAGAGATCCCGCCTCCAGGGCCAAGCTTCCCATCCGTGCCCCCCCCCACCCCCTGTCCGCTTGCCTCTCACGTTCCATCCCTCTCTTTCGCCGGGCTGCACTGACAGCCATGGAGCCCGCGACCCAGCGTCCATAGCTGGAGGTGGCGGAGCGGGTGCGCAGATCGCCGACCACCGGATCCTTCAGATCAGAAGTCGCGCGAATTCAAGACATCGCAACCGAGCACGCTTGGAGCTCTCGACCTCGTACTTGCGCATGACTTTTCAGGCTGGGTCGATCCACCAGGATCGAAGAGCCCGGGATGGACAAAAAGGCCAGGCGCGCTACTGTCACGACGCCCGAATGCCGGGCGAGCCTGACATCGACAGATGTGGACTGTTCAATCCGCGTGCCCAATAAATCTCGAACCCTTCCCGAGGTGCAAGTTTTCATCACGGCTATATGTTTGATGGCCCTAGGGCCCGAAAACCGCCCCCCGATGCCGAATAGAAAGACAAAGACCTGGACTGAAGATCCGCCCAAACCTGGGGCGCGGGGAAATCTCTAGAGGGCACCGTAAGCGCAAGAGACGTCGGGCCCAAGCAGGAAAGGATGGCCCCCGGCCGGGCCTCGAGCACACCAGTGCTGCCGTACAGCTCCTGCGCGTGGGGCTGGCATCCCTGCTCCCGACGAGAGAGAGTGCAGGGGGCGAGGCAGGGGGAGAACAAGGCCAGCGCCACGCTGGCTTTGGGTGCAGAGAAATTTCCTGATGCGCCCCGGCCGCTGCGTCTTGGCTGCCGAGAACTCCCCCGTCTCGGCCCCGGCCCCGCCTGCCCTGGCCTCGTCGATGCAGAGGTGGCCAGGAGGGGAATGAACAAGAGAGGGCGGGGGCGAGGGAGCAGAAGAACCACCACAAGAACAGCACAGACCTGCGATCACACGCACACAGGCGCACAAAGGAGGAGGAGGAGGAGGAGGAGGAGAAACAGGAGGAGGAGGAGGAGGAGGAGGAGGAGGAGGAGGAGGAACAGGAGAAGGAGGAGGAGGAGGAGGAGGAGGAGGAGGAGGAGGATGTGGAGGTCCGCGCGGAGCTCCCGCGGCGGCGCTGGGCCACCCTTCCTGCTCGCCAGCCCACGCTCGGCGACGCCAGAGGGCGCGGCCTGCACAGGGTGTGGCCTGCAGCCCACGCCCCGAGGGGGGCGGGCGAGGGCCTCGGCGGCGTTCTCCGCCGCGCCCCGAGGGGGGCCCATGAGGGTTAGGTCGGGCCTGTCCCCCATACAGGGGGATTTGGGGCGAAACTGTTGTTGAGCAAGAAAATGAAACCAAACAGAAAACAAAAACAAACAAAAAATGCTCAAAACATTGTCCGAAAATCGTCCCCTGACTATTTTTGGACCATTCTTGAACTTCCCCCCCGTAGAGGGACAGGCCCGACTTGAGATCAGGGCCAAGTGGTGCCATCCAAGCCCCAACGACGCCGCTCGCAGACCACACCCCTGGCAGTCGCCGCTACGTGCGCGGAGCGCGCCGGGGGGCGGCGCAGGAGGGCGCCGCCAAGGGGGGCGCAGGGGAGGGAGGCGGGGCGCCGACCAGCGGTGAGCCGCGCAGGCCCCTGAGAACCGGTCGGTGCGCGTGCGTTTTGTTATTGTGGATGCCATGATCATGGACACTCCCACAGTCCTGTCATTGAACTAACGATGTGTTTAAAATTTTAGAATGTTCTATACATATATATAATAATAATAATAATAATAATAATAATAATAATAATAATAATAATAATAATAATAATAATAATAATAATAATAATAATAATAATAATGATGATGATAATAATAATAATAATAATAAGAAGAAGAAGAAGAAGAAGAAGAAGAAAATGCGTGGAGCTTCCCATATGTGCATCTTATGTTTTATGCCATGCCATAGCGAGCGTCTGTTCATGAGCGCTTGACTCTAATAGCGCGTCCACATGAGCACCACGCCTCGACTCCTTCCTCCGTGCGTCCCAGAAGGTACGTGCCAGAGCACGACCCAAAGGACCAGCACGCCTCGACTCATTCCTCCGTGCGTCCCAGAAGGTACGCGCCAGAGCACGACCCAAGGGACAAGCACGCCTCGACTACTTCCTCCGTGCGTCCCAAAGGGTACGTGCCGGAGCACGACCCAAGGGACCAGCACGCCTCGACTCCTTTCTCCGTGCGTCCCAGAGGGTACGTGCCGGAGCACCACCCAAGGGAGCAGCACGCCTCATCTCCTTCCTCGCAGCATGAAAACGAGCAAACCGCCTGAGACATCCCTGCAAAATGGCCGCGAACGGGCCCGTGTCCTACCCCCTGGCGGCTCTCCTTAGGGATGCTGAAACCAGCGCCCCGCCTGAGACATCCTCAAAATCTGCTCTGAAAGCCAAGGATGTTGGGCATGAAAACGAGAAAACCGCCTGAGACATACCCACAAACTGGCCGCGAACGCGGGCCCGTGTCCTACCTTTTGGCGGCTCCTTTTGAGGGTGCTGAAACCAGCGCCCCGCCTGAGACATCCTCAAAATCGGTCCCCGAGCCCCGATCCTGACCCCGCCCCTACGACGAGAAGCCAGGACGAGGACCAAATCGGGCGAGGAGACACCACGCATCTCCGAAGTCCGGCGACTCTGGAGGACGTCTCGGGCGCCGCGACCTTCGCAGAGCGACCCGGACAGCTCTTCGAGAGCGTTCCGGAACGCTCTGGAACGGACGTATCCTCGTCCTATGCCCGCCCGGAGCGCAGAGGCACGCGCCCGAGGGCAGAGGAGGACGAGGACCGGTGTAGACCCAAGAGTCATCCACGATGTTGGAATAAAGCCTCCCTCCAAGCTCCCCTTCATAGGCACCTGCAACGGTACATTTCCATTGAGGGAACTGCCCCGTTGGAAGACAGCCGTCTGAAGACCCTGAAGCATACCAAAACATTGTTCCCGGGATTCCAACGCCACGGGTCAACCTGACTGTTGCGTCTTGACGATCCTGAATCGTGCCAAGACGCCATTTATGGGACTTCAACACCGCGAAACAACATAACTCCTACACCCGCATAACCCTGAACATTTCTAAAAACACCGTTCCCAATGGGAATCCATGAAAGTTTTGCAAATTCTATTTACAAAAAAAAGTGTGCGCGGCGCTGAGGCGAGAACCACATGTTGAAAAGGAACCGCCCTTAATCAGTGAAACTCTTGCATTTGTTACAACGAATGCGCGCGGCGCTAAGGCGAGAGTCACATTTTAAAAACGGGTCGCCCTCAATCCGTGAAACTACTAAAGATGTGTAAAACGAATGTGCGCGTCGCTGAGAGAGAGCCACATGTTGAAAACGTGTCGCCCTCAATCCGTGAAGCGCGGCGCTAAGGCGAGAGCCACATGTTGAAAGCCACCCGCCCTCCATATGTGAAACTATTGTCAAATTCTAAGGTTCAGGAATCATACATGGTGGGGAAGTCTCAAGCGAAACGCCGGGCCCGCCCTAAAAACTGGGCTCGGGGTGCGACAGGGACAAGTGATTTATGAGGAAAGGAATACAGGAGGAGGAGAAGGAGTAGGAGGAGGAGGCGGAGGCGGAGAAGAAGGAGGAGGAGAAGGAGAGGGAGGGGGAAGAGAAGGAGGGGCAGGGGAGGAGGAGGAGGAGGAGCAGGAGGAGGAGGAGGAGCAGGAGGAGGAGCAGGAAGAGGAGGACGCCACCCCCCCCGGAGGAGAGCCCGTTGAGACAACGGCGGTTCATGCCACGGCGGCCTCCCCGCGGGGCCGAAGCCCACTCGGCATCGACCCCCGGACCCCTGCCGGGGCCCAGGCGCGCCAGCTTCTCCGAGCTGCGGCCAGCCGCAGCGGCGGGGGGCCTCCCCCCGAAGCGGCCCCATCCCATCTGCTGGCGGCGCGCACAAAAGGGGGGTAGGGGAAGCGCTTCTCCCCCCCCGCCCCTACCCCACCCGGCGCGTGGCGGAGAGGCGGCCCCTCTCGTCTGGCCCTCCTCCCACCCCGGCGAGCCCGCGCTCCAGGACGCGCCCGCGCATCTTCTCCCACTGCTCCGCGACATCGGCGGGCGCGCTGGCGCCCAGCACGACCGACTCGGCGCCGGCGCCCTCCCGTCGGCGGGCGCTCGCGGGCGGGGGAGGCGCCCATCGAGGATCGCCAGTGGGGAGGGGGAGGAGGAGGAGGAGGAGGAGGAGGAGGAGGAGGAGGAGGAGGAGGAGGAGGAGGAGGAGGAGGAGGAGGAGACGAGAAGGGGGACCTCGCAGCGCGAAGCGCGGTAACCCTCGCGGCCCTGTGTGCGACCGTGATGTCTCGGGGGAGGCAAAAGCACATTGTACGGTTACAGAGAGGGTGGACTGATCGACGCTTCGACCAGAGAACTGCCAAAGGTGCGTTCCGTTTGGTACAGAGCACATGTCCAGGGTGGCAGGTCTAGATCTGAAAGACACTAGCCTCGAATCACTCCGAGATCATTATTGGAAATTACTGTGTCAGAAACCCTCGGCCATCGAATGAGACATCCTGCATGCGAAATGAACCGTCTAGGGAGGACATGCCCGCTGGCAGCACAGAATGGCGGTGCGTTGGAGGAACAAGAGAGGGACGGTCCCGTTTGATAGTTATCGAGTGTCGACAGGGGATTGGAGGAGCCTCTATGTTACGTGAGAAGGAGTAGGAGGAAGGGGAAAGGACAGGGGCAGGGGGAAAGGGAAGTAGAAGAAGAGAGGGGGGAAGGGGCAAGCTAGGTGCATTCGCGGTATATCTGACGTCCTACCCCTTCCACCCATCTCTTCACATTGCGCTGATTTGTTCTCCATCTGCGGACGCGTGCAATAGCAGAGCCATAACTCAAAAAAGACCCCATCGCCGTGTTATGCGCTATCGGAAAGGAGGAGCTGCGTACATGGGAGGAGAAGGTGGCGGATGAGCAGGAGGACGAGGAGGAAAAAAGGAGGATGAAGAAGCAGGCGGACGAGGACGAACAGTAGCACAGTAATTGGAGTGGAAAGAGCGGGAGGAGCAGGAGGGCGGATTAGGGGAAAAAGGAAGGGCGACAACGATGAGGAACGATGAGGATCCAGAAAAGTGACCCACGCTGGGGCGAGCGCCTTCTGAACGACGGGATCAAAGCCCCGATCGTAAAATGAGGCCCAGGCTGCAGCAAGAGCACCTTTTGGAAGGACCGAGAATATTCGGAGTGGGAAAGCACATAAGAAAAATCAGCTCGGCACCATCCTGTGTGTTAAAAACCAAGACGCGGAGGATAGTCGCGCTACTACCCAGCCATCCTCGGAGAAAGGAGAATATTGTTCATATTGAGTATGTGTAAAAGAGAGCAGGAGGAGGTGAGGCAGGGGGAGGGGGCGGACGAACCTGCGGGGGATGCTTCGACTTTCCGCAGTTGTTCGCGTCCAGAAGCCGCTTCTGGCCCCCAGTTACTCTGGGTGCAAAGCCAGTCCTTCAGAGGGGGTCGAGGGATCTGGGGGCTCCCGACTCTTTAGAAAACTATTCCTCGGAGGTCTGGGCAAGCCTGGATTAGACATGTGGTCCCGCCTGCTCGAGTGGCGATCAAAATCACGCAAACCCAGGCGGCATCTTCGGTGCTTTAAGGGCTGTCCCTCCGCCCCCCGCCCCCTTCCCAGAGAATGCCTCGCCAACCCACGTCTTCAGGAGTATCACTGTTACCGCGGACTGAAGTGCTACAGCAGAAAACCGCCCAATATCATATCCGCGTGGGGGCGAGACAGCCCAAGACAGACATGAGATGACAGACTTCTCCTTGGACGTCTTGTGGTCGCCCTCGAAGCCAGTCGCTCTCGATCATTCAAAAGGCTTCCGAACGGCAGAATCATTTGAAAACTCCGACTGTTAGGGGACTTCGGCCCCGCCGGGGAGTCCAGAAAACTTGGCCGACCGAGGCCCTCAAAGACTGGCCCCCCGGTCCCCTTTCCCGTCCACTTTTTCCTGCGACGGACGACTCGTCCACAGAATTGGAGAAGATCGCTCTGAAAGCTTGCGAACAAGGAATCCAGGATCCCAAGGCCAGACCGAACCAGGTCCGACCTCCTCCTGCCTTGCCATTGAGCCTCGGCTCGCAGCTTTTGCCGCAACGAGTTTCATGATTGCTTCCTTCCCAAAGAGAGCTCATCGGCCTCCGTGTACGCCAGGTGCCCCTTCCGCCGCTGCTCGCACAGCCACCACTCGCTGAGCGCAACTTTTTTCGAGAAGCCATGCCACTCGCTGCAGACCACCTCGAGTGGAGTCTGCACAGTGCCGCCAGGCAAGACATAAACACGCTTACGTCCAAAAATTATCCCAGGGCCTTGAAGGCATGTGTATCGACGTCCACGGGTAGGACGAGCACTATGCAGAGGTATGCCAGCCTACTTCAGAAGCCAAGCGACGGTTGAACGACCAAAAAGGCACCTCGCATGGTGTCTGCGAAAGTCTGCAGGGTAGCGCGCACTTCAATTCCTAGAGACCTCGCATGGGATCCCGATCAATATCCGCCGATCCGGCGTGTGAGTTTCAAGGAGTCTCAGCTACAGCCTCGAGGCTGAGCTTCAGCCTCTGGGGGGGTCGCCGGGGTGGCTCTGCCGGGGAAGGGGGGGTGGGGGGGGGGGGGGGGGGTGCGAGTTTCCGGCGAACCCCGGGGCCGCTCCGGGGGAGTGGAAGATAGGGGGGGGGGGGGCGCCATGCTCCGCTTTTTCCGGCGCTTTGGAGGAGGGGGGGGGCCCAAGAGACCCCCAAGGGGTTCCAAGAGGGCCCCGAGTCGCCGAAAAATCGCTCCAAGACGCCCGAGATGGCCTCCAGACGGCCCAAGGTGTCTCCAAGACGCCCCAAGAAGCTTCCAAGAGGCCTCCCAAGAGGGCCCCAAGAGGCCAGAATCGTTGATTTTCATTGGTTTTCTCAGGGTTTTTAGCGTTCTTGCCTTTTCGGGCGTCCGACGCTCGAAGACGGCCCAAGAGGCCCCCAAGTCCGTCCCAAGACGGCCCACGATGCTTCCAACACGGCCCAAGAGAGCCCCAAGACGGCCCAAGAGGGCCCCAAGACGGCCCAAGAGGGCCTCTGGACAGCCCAAGAAGGCCCCAAGAGAGCCCCAAGAGGGGCCCAAGAGGGGGACCACGAACCGAAAGAACCGAGCTTTCCGCCCCAAGAGGCCCCCAGGAGGCCCCAAGAGACCCCCAAGGGGCCCCAAGAAGCCCACAAGAGGCCCAAAAGAGGTTCCAAGAGGCCCCAAAACAGCTCCCCAGAGGCCTCCAGACTGCCTCCGGCAGGCCCCCGGTTTCTTCCGCGGCACCGCCCAGGGCGCCACCGGCAGGATGTCCTCCGTCTCATCGTTTTCCTTCAAGTTATCGCCTCTTCCTCATTCTCCTCCTCCTCCTCTGCGACCTCACTCCTATCCCTCAACGATCGCGTCACCGAGTGCCTCTTCTTTGAAACATCCTCGCTCTTCAAACGCACATCCATACACACATGCATACATACCTACATTTAAACACATTTGCATACATAGAAAAACAATCTTCCAGACATACATACTTACATTCACACACATACACACATATTATCATACACACATACAAACATACATACAAACTAAATACATACATACGCGCACAAGCATACATACATACATACGTACCTACACACAGGCACACATGATCAATGCATGCATACATGCATGCACGCGTACATACACACACATATATCGTGAAACTCACCGCGTGCTCGAAACTTGAGAGAGACCGCGGGAAGTCGAGAGAAGCCGCGGAACGAGGCCTCTACTACTACTACCACTACTACCACAACCACTACTACTACTACTACTACCACTACTACTACTACTACTACTACTACTACTGCTACTACTACTACTACTACTACTACTACTAATACTACTACTAGTACTACAGGAGCGTTTCCCAACTAGTATGTGTGTGTGGGTGATGCTGTGTGCGCATGTCTGCGGCGCAGGTTAAGTGGTGTGACTGTGTGTGTGCGTTTGAGTGTGCGCCCATAATTTCTGCGTCTGGAGAATAACCCCGAGCGACCCGGATCGGCGGCACTGGCCGAAGGCCACTACAATAGGTCGAAAATCTCGCTACACAGGTCTCACGGGCAGCGTGTGAACGAACTCTACGGATGTTGTCATGGTTCGAATGTCACAGCACAAGCGCTCAAGTGGAGGGCCCCCCCTGTGGAGCCGATTAAGGCTACTGATTGTGGGGCACCCTACTTCGGAGGGAACATTGTTGAAGTGAAGAATATTCTGAACTACCAGCATTCCTGCTCCATTCGTAACGTGCTGTACCCAACTATTCCCCAATCAGTGCTTGCACTCAGGGATTCTCATTATTAAAAGCAGTACTTGCACTTAGGCGTTCTTACCTCTATCATAAGAAATGAATTGGGCCGTGTCTTCGGTCTGGCAGCTATGTGGCCGCCGTCGCCGGCTCGTCGCCGCCCGTCGTCTTGGCCGTGTTTTCGGTCTGGCGGCTATATGGCTGCCGTTGTCGCCCCGTCGGCGCCTCGTCGACGCCCGTCGTCTGGGCCTGACTGCCGCTCTGGCGACTATGTGGCCGCCGTCGCCGCCCCATCGCCGCATCGTCGCCGTCCGTCGTCTGGGCCTGCTTGCCGCTCTCGCGGATATTTTGCATTGCGTTGCGTTTGATGAGTTTGCATTGATTTTCATCGCTTCGCATTGCTTCGAGTTACTTTGCGTGGCTTTGCCTTGCTTTGCATTGCGTGTCGTTGACACTCGTCCATCCTAAATATGACTTCGTACTACCCCAGCCAAACAGGTACCACTCCCCCCCGGCATCCTCTGCAAAAACTACTATGAGCGCACTCTCGTTCATCAGAAATCATAAGCTTTCAAAAACCCTTTGCAAAAAACAGCACAAAGTGCACACGCGCGCGTCGTCGCGCACGCATGCCGAAATCCTTCAAGAACCTTCGGTCTCGGAAGAATTTCGATATCGAGGTTCAGGTTCGGGTTCAGCTGTCTACGTCCTGGGGGGGCGGCCTGGAAACGGGCGACAGGCGTGCTTAGCACGCTGGCCCTTCGAGAAGGACCGGCGCGACTGCTGCGAATGACAACGCACGAGAAAATTGTAGCCAAACGCTGCTTCGAAGAAGCGAAACACAGCCAAACGCTGCTGCGAAGAGGCCAAACACACCACCGCAAGATGACGGCAAAAGGTGGATGACGACGATGGACGACGATGAGCAGATCAGAACGTGAATGCTTTTTCGTGTGCTATCTCCAACAACAATCAACAGATTCGTCAACTAACTCTTCCCATGTCGTAAAATTTGTTGCAACACTTCCAAGAGTGCTATCCGTTGGACACAGCGAATCTGCATAAATCATCTTCCCATCGTGTGCAACGACCGGGTCTTCATCGATATGGCCTGCGTCTTGAAGACTGTTCCTGGTTGCCCCACCACTCGTGGTCCATCCACTTCGGTCGCTTTCCTAGCCCATCTCTCACTATCCATGTTGGCCAGCGTGCCTGCCCAGTTCCATTTTGCAGACAGGTGGGCCTTCGCCCAACATTGGACTCCGGCGCTCCGCGCGTTCCTCCTATCCGCAGTGGCTGTCGCACGTTTGACCCAAGGGAACGCAGTCCTCGTTTGGCCGTCGACGCGGGCCCACCATCGCTCGAAGCATTCGCCTTTGCGTGGACCGCTGCATCCTCATTTGCGCGACCGCAAGTTCCCAGGACTCCGCGCACCATGGTGCCGACTTCGAAACTGCGGAGTCGAAGAGTAACAAGCGCTTCCTTTCTGAAGCCGCGCGCTTCTGCAGAAGTGAACGAAGTGAGCGGTACTTTGCCCAAGCAGCTCTTAAGCGGCTAGCGAACTCCGCGCGCGCGCCCCCATTCAGTGCCACGATCGCGCCCAGGACTTCGAAGCCGGCGGCGCAGCCGCATTGAGGAAAACGGCGCTGACCCAATTTCGAAACCTCGCCCGCTTGAACATCCACGCCTGCACATTGAATGCTGCATTTGCTCTCATTCATGTGAAGACCTACTCTAGCAAGTGCGAAGGTAATGCCAGTTAGCATGCCCACCAACGCCTGCCTGGACTTCGCGACCAACGTTGTGTCATCGTCAAACATAGCGCATGTAAACCGACATCGCCCAGACACGTTGCATCCGATGACGGCGCTGCTCCCTTTGCGCCCCCATTCGCCCTTCAAGCTTGCCATTGCTGCCCGGACCGCGCTCGCAAAGAGTGGCGGCGACATTGGGTCTCCTGGACGCACGCCCCGTAAGAGTTCAAAGCATCGGCTCCTCACTGCACCGTCGACGCGGACATGCGCCTCCCGCCTGTCATACAGGCGGCGAATTGCACTGATGTCTGCGCCACTCACGCCAGTGCGTTCCAAGCCGATTGCAGAGTGCATGATTTGCTCAAACGCTTTCTCGAGATCAAGTGACGCGACCCACACTGTTTCGCCCCATTCGATACTTTTTCGCTGATCACTCGCAGTGCGTGGACAAGATCCCGGCACCCGCAATGTCTACGAAACCCCATTTCTTCTGGAGCGCGGCGGTCATCCAAGACCTTCGCGATTCCACGTAGGAGGACGCCGCTGTACAGCTTGCTGAGAACAAGGATTATCGCGATGGGTTTGCAGTTTTGGTAAAGTGGCATCACCTTTATAAAACAACGCGACCAATCACGACCGCGCCCAGGCTGCCGGCATGGAAGCGCAACCATTCATCAAGTCAGAAAACATACACGCAATAATACCCAACAAAGCTTCGCCACTTTCTTTGAGCATCTCTGCAGCGATGCCATCGTCTGAACATGTTTTGTTTGCCTTCGTTGCTCTGATCGCGCCCCGGATGTCGGCCATCAGTTCGTCGGCTCGCACCGACCCCCGGCGCGGGTCTGGAGCTTGGTCCGCCCACGGCGCATCGCACAGGCCCAAGTAGCAAGCAGCGGAAACCTCTGCGATGTCCTCCCGACTTGTCTTTATTTTGCCATCTGCGCCCTTCACGGCTGCGATGCGTTTCGTCAACTCTGGGGCTGCCTCGACGCGGTTCAGACCTTTTGCGCCCCCTTTCTGAATCACACAATCCATTTGTTGATCGGCTTTTTGGCGCGCGCGGCGCCGAACTGCACGATACAGCTTCAATGACAAATCTCGCCTTTCATCCTGGGTGGGAGCTCGTTTTCGCGCCCTCCGG